AATAAAAACAAACAAAATACTCAGATATAGGCAGCTTAACACAAATATGTGTTTTGTAACAATTAAAAAGTCATGCTGTTTAATTGGTTTGTGTTGAGAACTCCTAAATACAGGTAGAAAAGATGGGAAACATAAGTACATTCTATTGGAAGATGCTGTTTGGATTAAATTATTGTAAATATCCTTATCAAACTTCTGCTACATCAAAGGCACTTACATATTTGAGCACAAATTTTCTGTTCTGTACAAATAACATACCTTGTACCCCTGAGTTATAAGAATTATTTAGACAATATTTAAAAGCAATTAACATGGGGCTTGGTATACAGAAAATATTCAACAAAAGTTTGATTTAAAAACAAAAAACCTAATGCCCTCAAAGAAAAATTCTAAAGCTAAAATAAATAAACCAGTAAATTACCATATCGGCTTGACACAGTATACTATGCTAAGTATCCTCTGTAAAAAGATCTAAGAGAAACACAAGATGTGATTTGTGTCCCAGCAAGTTTAACTTAAAAATGGATTTCAAGTTGCCAGTTCTTTAACATTAGTCCCACAGGAGGGAAAATAAAAATAATAAAAGAAAATAAGATTAAAAGAACAAGCTAGATACCTATGTACAAATTATGGAAAGCCCATTGTGAGGTATTAAATTAATGTTATTTCCAAAGAGATTTTAAACAAAAATTTTAAAAAGAAGTTTCCATAGAAAACAAATAATAACAGAGTTGACACACACACACACACAAAATACAAACGAACAATTCAAAAATGTCCAAAATACTGATTTTTACTTCTAGTAATAGCAAGTTAGATCAAAATTTGGACCAAAATTTTAAAGCATCTAAAAGAGCTGGATGAAAACAAATTTCAATTTCTTGAAAACTGTAGAACTAAGATACCAAGGAACCAAAATCTAGATAGCAAAAAGCCAGAGAGGTGAAGGTTACATTCACAGTTGTTTTTTCCCTGAGGACATCTGCCAGTTCAGTTCGGATGGAAAGCTCATTTTGGTGGCCTTTATATCAGGAGAAACAAAACTGAAAGCCCTGGGCCTATAGGAGGTAGAAAGCTTGATAAACCATAAAACCATAGGACAAATTAAGCTGAGACTCAAGGGTCTGTTTCTCCAGGGTTAAGGATAAATCAGTTCTTCGTGTTGTATACTCCAAAATGGTCCAGAACTTCAATCCCAAATTTAAGATTATACAAGTCCTGGATTGATAATACCCCAAACATGTTTTAAAAATATACAAAATTCTCTCTCATAGAACCTCCTAAGCCATATAATTAGTCCTATAAGCATATTTTAAACCTAATGACTAGCACCTAGTCATGAATGAGGAGCATGATAAACATTACTAACAGAAACAAACAGATTTCAGAAATGGAAATGCTCAATCTAAATGATATGTTTATCACATTAAAGAATTTTGGGGGGGAAGCAGGATGTAGTGGGGACTGAATCCAAGAGCACTCAACCACTGAGCCACATCCAAGAGCCACATCCCCAGCCCTATTTTGCATTTTATTTAGAAACTGGGTCTCACCGAGTCACTCAGCACCTCACTTTTGCTGAGAACTCGAGATCCTCCTATCTCAACCTCTTGAGCCATTGGGATTATAGGCATGGCCACCAAGCCTGGCTACAGAAATTATAATCTAAAGCTTGAAAATAGTATCAGGGAAAAAAATGAGCTATAAAGTGACACCACAATTTTAAAAAGAAGCAAACCAGTTCTAGAAAGTAAAAAGTAACTCAAATTATTGATTCAACTGGTGAGTTTAACAACAGATTAGAAGGTGTGAGTTATAGAACTGTATGCAGTATTCAAAAGGGATCTAGCTGAACAATAAAAATATAAATATTTCATGTATATAAATTATATACAATTTAAAAATTGCAAACTACTACAAAATTTTTTCAGTACCACTCAGAAAAATTTCTAATTAAGTATAAAAAATTCAACAGCTTCCTGTTAATTTTTATTTTTCTATTTACCAGCTTTTAGTACAAACTGAATCAAGTGATTTGATTCAAATAACTCATTTTCACTACAAAATCTACAAATTCCTAGAATTATCTTTTTGTTCCTAACACACATAAATCTTTCTCTTTTGTTTCTTTCAATTTATCTACAAACTAAGACCCTGTCTTTTGAACTATTTCCAAGAATGAAGAATTTCATGCTACTTTTACATATCAGAATTGGGACTTCTGTCCCTAGTTTAGAGGTTGACTGCTAACACTGCTCTTACTTTCACTTTATGAAGAAAGACTATGGGTCTCATTTTAGTTTTTAAAAAAAGTTAGTGTTCAATGTCTTTTGCAACTAGTAAGTATATGACCATGTAGCTTTCATGAAAATTATAAACTTTATGGCCAATTCTTTACTTGTGCTGTTTTTCTTGAAAGGTAATTTTTCTCAGCAAAAGAGTTGCTCAACAAAAGGGAATATGTCAACAGAATGAAAGTAAATTAATCTAAAGATGTTTTTCTCCCTCACATCTAAATAATGGTTCCCTAAAAAACTTCTGGCACATATTACCTGAAACTAAATAAAAATAATATGATTTGTCTATATAATCCCACAAATTTCACTGTACTCTAGGATTTTTTCCCTTTTATATGGATGTATGTTATGCCTACCCCAGAATATTCATTAATACTATCTTTATAAAATCTGCAGCTTAAAAAGCACTATTTACCATGACTTATTTTCTTTTCTGGACAAGAAAGAAAACACAATTCAGTAACTGTATTGGTTCAAGCTTTGAACATTAAAGAAGACAAAGTAGCTGAAAGTTGACTTTTCAAGTTATTTCTCATATCTATTAAATACATAGCTTTCTTTCTTTAACCATGCTATAAAATTATCTATTTTAGTTGAGTACATACCAATCTAAATCTTGTGCTCTTTCAAGTTCATTAGCTTTTCTAGGGTTTTCAGCATTAAAATTGCCTTACAGCATGATAGCTTTAAGGTTTTTAGTATGAGATACTAATCTTGTGTCATTTTAATTCAAATGTAATCTGTTTTACCAGATATATTCTATGTATCTTAAAGATGCCATCTAGTTCTTGAGAGGCAAAATAGTCTAAAACCTATGACATTGGCTTACTTAACTTCATATTAAGTATTTAGAAGATGGTATAAGTGAGAGGGCAAAGACCTGACTATCTATAATACTTTGGGGAAAATAGTAAAAGAAATTTTAAAATCTGAGATACATCAAGCAAAAACCAATTTTCCATTGAACCCAGAAAAGCAAGTCGTATGCCACTTCAAAAGGTATAAATCAAAACCACAACAGATTTGGAAGTGTACTTTAGCTAGTGAAGTACATGTCCCAATTTCAAGGTGCAAGTTACACCTAATTAGGGATATCTTTTTAAATTTTTTTAAAAAATATCTTTCAGTTATACATAGACACAATACCTTTATTTGTTTTACATGTACACAATACCTTTGTTTGTTTGTTTATGTGGTGCTGAGAATTGAATCCAGTGTCTTATAAGAACTAGGCATGAGCTCTACTCCCAAGTCATAACCCCAGCCCTAATTAGGGATATATTAAATGACAGAATAAAAATTTCTGTGAATTGATGTGTTAAAAATATGTAGATAGAATCTTTTTCAGTTCTTTGTAATCTTTATTTGTTTAAACATTGATTATCTACTGTATAAGTCTTGGCCTTTTTCATACTAAATCAGGGTTTCTCAATTTTGTCATTTTGGGATTGGTTATTCTTTGGAGGGCTGTCCCATACACTGCAGGATATTTAGCAGCCTATCTGACCTCACCCACTGAACACAGTGGGTAATGTCTGTCAGGTATGAAAAGCAAAAATTGCCAAATGGACATTGCCAAATGGCCCCTGGGAAGCCAAAGACCACCCTTGAAATCACTCCAATTAGATCAAAATCGTTTTCATCTGGTAATTATCTAAAGATGTACAGTATTCATTTTTATTATTACAGATGTTTCAACAGATCCAAGATTCTTTTCTTTTTTTTTTTTTTAACATAGTACTACCAGCACCTTTATTTTAGACTTCTTTTTTTTTTTTTAATTTTTTTTTTATTGGTTGTTCAAAACATTATAAAGCTCTTGACATATCATATTTCATACATTAGATTCAAGTTGGTTATGAACTCCCAATTTTACCCCAAATACAGACTGCAGAATCACATCGGTTACACATCCACATTTTTACATAATGCCCTATTAGTAACTGTTGTATTCTGCTACCTTTCCTATCCTCTACCATCCCCCCTCCCTCCCCTCCCATCTTCTCTCTCTACCCCATCCACTGTAATTCATATCTCTCCTTGTTTATTTTCCCATTCCCCTCACAACCTCTTATATGTAATTTTGTATAACAATGAGGGTCTCCCTCCATTACCATGCAATTTCCCTTTTCTCTCCCTTTCCATCCCACCTCATGTATCTGTTTAATGTTAATCTTTTCTTCCTGCTCTTCCTCCCTGCTCTGTTCTTAGTTGCTCTCCTTATATCAAAGATTATTTTCAAGATTATTTTCTATGTATCTAGACACTATTACATGTAAATTACTACCTAATTAATCGGTGAAGTCTTAGGCATATATAAACACTTTCAATATATTGTCAGTATTTGTGTAAAACTTGTTAAACAGAGAAAGTACTTAACAGGCTTTACTTCTATAACTTGATCATCATATTCTTTTGAGTGTATTAATAGAAAACTATTGTTTGATGTCAACTGGTCCTTCTCAGTCCAGATGTCTATAATATTCCTCTAAAAGTTAAAAGTTCAATTTTTATGATATCCCCTTCTCTTGGTACTCTTATATAATTGGAACTAGAAACTTATGACCTAATTTCATCCATCAACTATTTGGCCAAGTAAACAAACACTGTTTATGATTTTTAAAAATTCATACTATGAAGTGTTTAACAGGATGATAATGAAAAGTATCTTCAACATTTTTGAACCAACAGTAAGGCTCTTACCTACAAGCTACATTTGGATCAGCATTTCTTGAAAGTAGCAGCTCTACACACTTCAAGATCTGTTCTTCAGAGCCACGAGCAGAACATGCAGTTATCAAAATAGTCTGCTTATCTACAATGAATAACAAAACAAGGAAATAACCTTATACTTTAGGAAGTATATCCTCATACTTTAGGAAGTATATCTAATTGACTTCCTTACCTTTAAAATATTCTATATGTTTATTGCACTCTAGAATTCTACAAACTCTTCCCAAATCTTATGCATAAGATTAATTCACCAAAACAAGAGATCAGGGATAAATCCCATTCATCCCCATTTAGTATATGCACAATGCATTTCTTAACTTCCTTCCTCTATTCCATTTCCTCAAGAGAATAGCAAGTGATGAGGCACATGACTGTGCCACACTGCCTGAATATGAACAGTTTTTGGTTGATTAAAATTTGCCTTCCTCAACTTATGACTGGAAAACGAGCTGTACTCTCTGGTTTCACTTCTTCTCACCCATTTGACAGTTCTTGAAATCTAGCTTATAACCTTCCTATTGAAACTGATACAACTGCCACATTTAATCTTTGTCTTCTTGATCTGTCTGAACTCACCTTGTTCCCTAAAACTGTTCTTCCCTTGGCTCCTATGGCATCAATGGGAAAGAGGATAGATTTAAAAAGAAAAAAAAAAAAAAAAAAACACTTCTCAATTAAGAACTCAGTAATTCAAAAAAGGTCACCATAGATATGGTTTATATTAGACATAGCATATGACACAGCATACAACATAGCATATGACAAGTTGTATAACAAAAGGATAATCAAAGGTAGTATCATCTGTCCTAGCTCTGCCACTGATAAACTGTGGGTCCAGTCATGTCTTAATATCTCATTAGATATAATTTATAAGTAAATTGAAATTAATACCTACAATCTTTATGTGTACATTCTGAGAAAAATAGAAAGTATTTTATAACTGTATGTATTCCTCTGATTACAAGGAAGAGAAGCAGAAAAAGAAGTTTTTGAGCAGAAAATTTTCTATGCTTTTAAAAATCTCAAGCTTAAGTATAGCTTTGAGTGGTATTTTTAACAACAAAATAAAAAACCTGATTAATCATGAAAATAAGAAAGATTTTTGTAAAATAAAGAAGAAACGATAGCTATAGTTTTACAAGTATCTAATGTACATACAAAAAAAAAAACTAATGTGAAAATCAATTCTAAAATAATTATGAAGTAAATTCAACGGCCTATTATAAACAAGTTAAGCCAGGTACAGTGGCAAATGTGTGTAATCCCAATGACCTGGAGGCTGAGGCAAGAGAATCTCAAGTTTGAGGCCAGCCTTGGCAAGGTGGTGAGACTTTGTCTCAAAATAAAAAACACAAAGGACTGGGATGTAACTCAGTGGTAGAGCACCCTGACTTTAATCACCAGGACTGCAAAACAAAACAACAACAAAAAAGTGATTTATTAAATAAATATAACAAACTATATTTGCATATATACTTTTTAAAATTTATTTTTAATTTTTATTTATTTATTTATTTATTTATTTATTTAGGGAGGGGGCTGCTAAGGATTGAAGTCAGGGTCATTCAACCATGGAGCTACATCCCCAGCCCTATTCTGTATTTTATTTAGAGACAGGATTTTACTGAGTTGCTTAGCACCACACTGTTGCTGAGGCTGGCTCTGAACTCTCAATCCTCTTGTCTCAGACTCCCAAGCCTCTAGGATTACAGTCATGCACCAAAGTGCCCAGTTGCATGTATACTTTTGTTCTTTAAGAGTATTCAAAGAACTACCAAGTGGGAATTATTTACTAAGAAAAACAGAAATAAATATATTTAATAAACTACTTTTGAAACAACTTCAAGTGATATAATTCAAAGTTTATAATTTCATAAACTAATTTTCAGGTACTTTTCCAAAAAAATAGCAGTCTTTTGATTTTTTCAATGTATTTTTTATTTAAAAATAGCCAAACCTTCTACTTCAGAAATTAGATGTACATACCTATATGTAATTTAAAAAATACATATCTGGAATCTATCTTCTTGGAAAGACTTTTTCAAAATGGATAGGTTTCTAATTTGACTTTGCATATTATTTAACCAATTCAACTAACAGAAAGATTTTTTCCCAAACTGCTTTAATTTATTCCCCCTTGCCTAATTGCTGCTTGGGATTCAAAGATTCATGGTAGACATAATTAGTTATCTCAAACATCTTACCCTTATCAAAGCTTGCATTAGCACCTCTGTCCAAAAGGACCCGAACCATCTCTACATTGGCAACACTAGCAGCATACATCAAAGGAGTCCATCCATATCGAAAGCTGGAATCTACACTAATACCTGTCAACACAAAAACAAGGTTTTGAAAGTCTCACCATAAAAACACAAAACAATAGCAAGAAGACCCTCACTGTAATGTGTGTAACATATATATGCATGGAGAAATACACCATATAGTTTATTCTAGAAGAGGATTTCTTGGTAATAATGGTCCTAGAAAAATAGTAATATTGTGACTAATAAATTTGTTAACTTTAGTTTCACTATAGACGCTATATTCTAAGAGACCTGACCTGACCAATGTTTTATAAAATATAAATATAAAATAGTTTATAGTATAATAGGTTTTTCTATGCCACTTGTTTCTCTCTAGGGGAGTTGGGGAAGGTTTCAGGGAGGGAATATGTCTTTTAGATTAGAATATTATACTCGGGCAATATCCAAGATTGTGAATACCACAAATTTCCCTAAGACATCCTAACTTCCCCTTCAACACAAAACTTGCCCATAGGTAATCAGATAAAAAATGAAGTTAAAAAGATAGGTTACATTATGAAATCTCTTTTAGAAAATACAAACTATACTTTGTGAACAAGGGATTAACATCATTATATCGGTATTACAAAGACAACACAGATATATCACTGTTGAGAATGGCAGGATGCAGGGAGACCAACTTACAAACATCAAACTAAGCACAGGAGAGAGAGAGAGCAGGATGGGGTGGGGGGTTGTATAACTAAAGGATATTCAAAAGTAGTATCATCAGAATTTAACATTACTTTGAGAAGGTGAAAAAAAAGAACAAATTGAAAATTACTATCAGGTTCTACCTTAGAAAAATGAATAATAATCAATGAGCTAGAATTCTCTTCACAGATATCAGGCCTTAGGAGTAGGATAAAGTTTCAGAGTGGAATTAGGGATAGATACTAACCAGGACAAGAATCCGATGACCTTCAAATCTTTAAATACTTAATGATAAAAATCCTTGAAATTATATGATTTTCCTAATAATACTGATTGGTTTGGTTACATACACACTCAAAAAAAAGAAAAAAAAGAAATAAGTGTTCTAGGACTGGGGAAGAGCATAGAAGATGTAATATAAGGATAAAGTAATGAACACAATCCATTACATTTAGGTAAAACCTTTTTTATAAGGTCGTAGAGATTGATTGGCAATCTCTCTCTTCAACCTAAGTAGTATTTGCTAGTCTCAAGAAGGAAAACAACATTTTTATTTCAAAAAAGGAATACCTGTAGGTGGAAATACCACTGAATATGGACTTGGCTTTAACATTGTATAATTTACAGATTTTATAGTCTGTGGCTATAGATTATTCCACTTGCAAAGATGAAGGGACTATCACCAAGAAAATACAAACTTGGGGCAGGGATCACTTTTTTCTATTGAAACATGAACTCACTGAAACCATGTATCTCCAATTCCCAACTGTCTCACTTTAATTGGTATAATGTAAATGAAAAACACTGGGAGAAAATAATACTTAACCATCTTAGTACCTACATAAAATGCTATCCCAACTGGTCACCTCTAACAAATTTTCTTCTTCAAACTACTACAACTGAAAGCATATGATGAGTTCAGAAAAAAAAAAAATCATTGTTTTCTCATTCTTTTCTTATTGATAGTACTGCTTGAATTGTGATAGTAAATGTAGAAAAAGGAAAAGACATGAAACAAAAATAAATAATGCATTTTGGTATAAAAATCCTTATCAATCATCACCTCTAATATTTAAATTATTCAGTTCTAGGTATAGTGTTTAAAACAGGTATTTTAAAGGAATAACACAATATACTTATATAACTCAAAAACATTCAAAATAACACTACATTGTTTATGGATATATACATATATCATAAAAATACAAAAATTCATAGGAATAATACACCTCAACTGTAGGAAAAGTGGTCATCTGTGTGTGTGGGTGGAAGGGTGTTTCTATACCTTTCTTGAATATGTAAAATACTTCATGGAGAACTAAAAATGTTAGTAAATGCCTGTTACTTTTTTTTTTTTTTTGTACTGGGGATTGAACCCAGAGGCACGTAACTGCTAAGCCACATCCCCAGCCCTTTCATATATTTTATTTAGAGACAGGGTCTCAATGAGTTGCTTAGGTCATTGCTAGGTTACTGAGGCTGGCTTTGAACTCATGATCCTTCTGCTTCAGCCTCCTGAGCCCCTGGGATTACAGGATTGTGCCATCTTGCCTAGCATGATTTCACTTTTAATTAAAGTTTTCCAATGGTATTGAAATGTTTCAAAAAAATGAAATAAATTCAAAGGCAAAATAACAGAAATAGTTTTTAAAATGTTAAATATGGAGAAGCAGGGTAAAATACCCCAAAACCAACAGTAATAGGGGTGAGAGTGGGGACAAAAAGGTATCTTTCTACCTTATACCTATATATTTATTATTGTTTTTTTTTAATGTTTTCAGTTTTAATAATTAAAACCAAATTTCAAATGACTGACTAAAAACTTAGCGGTAGGCTCTTTCAATAGACTCAAAAACCCATATTTGCCACCAATCATATCCAGTCCTAATCCTCCAAGAGCCTCCATCACCTTCATTGTGCCTAGTCCCACAATTCCCAGGACAAATTTCCTTCTCTAAAAAAAAAAATTTCTGCCTATTCTACTCCATCCAAAACTACAAACACCATACATATAGTCATATTAGTTATTCTGGTCTCTTTCTCCTTATTCAAATTTCATTCAAGTTCATTCTTCAAATAGAAACCCAAGTTCCACCACCTGTCCACCAAATCAAACATCTTTTTCATTTGCTAAGAATAATAACTAACATTTATATATTGTTTATATGTTCTATACCCTTAATTTACATGTTATCTTATTTTAATTATCTTTCCCCAACAACCCTTTTTTATAAATGCATTCTCATGGTTAGTAATCAAAGATGGATCTGACTTGTTTCCAAAAGGTTTTAATTTCTACAAAAACCATGTATCATCTCTAACACTGAATAAAAATATTTTGCTATATACAATCTCATCTATTTTGTGTGTGAATGTTTTGTAGCTATAACTAGATGGTAAATGCCTGCTATATCTTTGCATAATTTCAACCATTACAATCAACAATTTACATTTGTATGTGAAAGTAATTTTTAAAATATTTAATTCACAGAAGAGTATAATGGAACCCAGGACAGAATTGTGATGTTTTACATAAACAAACAGAAAGTTTAATTTTCCTAAGGAACTACAGTGAGTGGGCAATAAAACTGGAACAAATATCCAGGTTTAAATATTATTTTTTTAAAATAATATTTAAGCTCAGACCTTATTCCACCGCAACAAAAATACAGAAGGAGGAAAAACCATAAAACTACAAAATATATAAATAGAAACAATTCTTGAGAAATGTAAATTACAGCCAAGTAAATGCTGAAAAACAAAAATCACTTCTTGAACGAAGTGGAAGAGCCGATGGAAGCTAATTAGGGTGGCACTCTCAATGTAAGGGCAAAGAAAATAAGGCAGACAGAACTCAAAAGAACAACTGATGTATTAACTATTGGTTGCGTTTTCGTTGGAAAGCAACACAAGCCTCCTGAAACCAAGAATGCTTGTGAACTTAGAAAACTGTGTTCAGCTGACTTTACCCCTTAACTCTCACCAGAATCTAGGAGTTCCTTCACTAAGGAAATATCTCCAGTGGTCAATGCTCTCTTAAACGTTTCATTCTTTTCTTCTATAGGCAACGGCCTTTTTAATTTCTAAAAAAAAAAAGAAAAAAAGCACAAAATGAAACATCTTTTCATTTCCAGTACATCAGGAAATTGTAATGTCTGATGAGGTACACGGTATGTCAGGGTTTTGGTCGACATATAACATTAGCAGCGAAGACTCCATGTCTAAAACTATCTTTAGAGGGAATGAACAATGATAGGTCCAAACCCAAGCAAGAAGCTCCATCCACAAGACAAAGCAGTGCATCCGATGAAAACCACATTTGGGGAACAAAAGGAAAATGTGCGGGTTCGATTCGGTTCAAACTCCCCAATTTAGAAACACAGGTAAAAAGGGAAACACGGGCAAGGAAGTTAGTAAGTTTCCCCGGGCTGGGCCTAGCCTTCGAAAGCCAGGAGCCAACAACAGCTGCTGTCGACACAAGGCTTCCCCTGCTACCTGGGATGCCCGGTCGAGGTACCCAATCTCCCAGCCGTCATCCTCGCTATCGCTACTCTCGCCTCCGCCCGCCACGGCCAGGCCCCGGAAGGGGCCAGCAGCAGTGCCCGCCGCCATGCCCGCCTGCACGCTCTTCCGGCGCCTGCGCAGTGTCTGCGCACAGGGATGCGCGGGAAGCGTTGCACCGGAAGGAGCCACGCGCTAGCGCCTTGGCCTCCGGGCGCAGGCGCATATCTGCGCGCAGCCCACACTTCACCTTGGGGTCTCGGACTAAGGGAGAAAAGGGGTGGAGATCGGGGGTGGCAACTCTTGGCGTGTCCGCCTGATCAGCCAGGCTGACAGGATCCAGACCAGAACTTCCAATTCCTTTCAGGAATTCTCCCGCCATTTCGTATTTGTTTGACAAAGTTTTTGCTGGGCGTGGAATGCCCAGTTGTGGTTGGAGCCAAAGACGACCAGGCTTTCCTGGTCGTTCGCCATCCTCTTCCTATCCCCCAGCCAAACCTGCTGTTAAACGTGTATACCCTGGGAGAGGACTCGTGTTGTTGGTGCGCCACCCACGCTCAAGATGCCTTCAGACAAATGCCAGCCAACAAGGAGCCAGGAGAAAGTTTTTTGTTTTTTTGTTTTTTTTTTTTTTTTTTTTGCGGTGGGGGAGGAGAGTACCAGGGATTGAACTCAGGGGCGCTCAGCCACTAAGCCACGTCCCCAGGACTATTTTGTATTTTATTTAGAGAGAAGGTCTCACTGATTTGCTTAGTGCCCCACTTTTGCTGAGGCTGGCTTTGAACTCATGATCCTCCTGCCTCAGCCTCCTGAGCCCCTGGGATTACAAGCCTGTGCCGCTGCCGCCAAGCTTCAAAGAATTCTTTACACTTCACTTGATCTCAGATTTAGAAACTAGACCGTGAGAACACTTGGCTGCTGTGAAATATAGATGCCCCAGAGGAAAAAACAGCCATGAATGAAGAGTGTAGGGGAACAGTGGATCCAAAGAGCTGGAAAGAATGAAAAGATTTAAACAACTGGACAGGAAGTAAATAATTCAAATAACTTCAGGTGAAAGAAGCCCCAGGTCAAAAACTTTTCCATTTCTAACTTCTTGATGGAATGTTGATAACACATTGATTATCTTGCCACCACAGAAAAGTCGATTCTTCAGGGAATAGAGCACATTTATGCACCAAGGTTATTTAAAAGGAAAGTAGCCTTGCACCGGTCTTTAAAAAGTTCTAAGCAGTATATTTTTTTCCTTGAAGATTCTTTGTTACAAAATTTTGAAATTATTTACTTGAGGGATTCTCAAAGATAAGTAGTTTTAAGTAAGTTCTTTTGGGCTCACACTTGTCTTTCTAAATGCATTCATTCAGTACATGTTATGGATCACTAGATATAGCCAGGCACACCTAGGTTTGACTAGACAACATCAAAGACAAACCAAGCTCCCTCGTGGAGCTAACATTTTAATGAGAGACAGACAGTATGCAAATAAATTAGACTTCCAGATAGTAAGGGCCTTAAAGAAAATAAACTAGTGTTGCTCAGTTTCTGTAATCAAATTACTTAGATTGTTTCCTGGTGGAATCATTAGTTGTAGCTGTGAACCCTTGAGCAATTTACTTTGCTTCTGAATCAGTACCAGTTAACTTTTTTGTAAAATGGAGATGCTGATAATTTTCACCAAAAAGAATTGTTATGAAGATCAGATTAAGTAAATAGGCTTGGAATAGGGCCCATCTCAATGTAAGGTTAATAAATCCTAGCTGCTGCTGCTGCTGTTGTTGTTGTTGCTATTATTATTATTATTATTATTATAAGTTTAGATAGGGTAGTTAAGTTTGAAGAGGGTCCCAAATGACAAAGATTAGTTAGTCATAAAAAACCAGAGAGTAGAGCTTGCCTGGCAGTAGAGATGTCTAGGCAAGTCTGTAAGGCAGGGAAAAGTTGAGATCCAGGTTTAGAAACATAGTGGATAAATAAGGGCCCAAAGGGCAAAGTTTAAGGATGTACTCACCAGTAAATGCAATGAGGGCCCCCTTAAACTTTGTATCTCCAGCACCCTAATCCTTGCCTTTCTTGGAGCTTCATGAAGGGAGAAGTGTGAGATGAGAGGACTTTGTGCGCCTTAAGTAAGGAGTTTGGGTTTTACTGTTAAGAGCTATTTATAAATGAAACGTTTTTAAGCTAATGAAAGATGTGTCCTGAAAATGTGTATGTGTGTGTGTGTGTGTGTGTGTGTGTGTGTGAGAGAGAGAGAGAGAGAGAGAGAGAGAGAGAGAAAATTTAAAGACATTCTTTTTTATAGAGAAGTCTTTTGGTTTGAACAGCTGGATAAGTAGTGGTATCATTTACTATGATGAGGGAAGATAACAGAATAAACTTGAAAATATAATGAGCATCTCAAAATTAATTCAAAACCAGACAACCAAGGGTAATTGTCAGGTGGGTGTTTAGAGGTAAAGAGCTCAAGAGAGCCTGTCTTGCATATATGCATTTGGGAGTTATCCACATACAAGTATTTTTTTTAAACCTTGGGATTTATCCAGCAAGAGCTTTTGTAAATATAGATTACATTATCCTAGAACTTATATGGAAAGGTAAAGGAACTAGAATACTTAAAACAATTCTGAAGAAGAAGAATGAAGTAAGAGGAATTGCTGTACTTTATTTCGATACGTGTAGCTTTTGATTTAGGACTTTGTGATACAGATCAATGGAACAGAATGGAGAACCTAGAAATGGCACCATGCAATTACAGTATGGCTAATTGGACAAAGATGCAAGATCAATTTAATGGAGGAAGGGTATAGTCATTTCAAAAAGTAGTGCTGGAGCAATTGAATATTCATAGGTTAAAAATGAAAAGAATATCAACATAACCTTCATGCCTTTTACAAAATTAACTCAAATTGATCATAAATCTACATGAATGTTAATAGAAACATTATTCATATTTTCCAAAAGCAGAAAACAACTCAAATATCCACTAATTGATGAATGGGTAATTAAAAGTTTTATATCCACATCATCTGTGTTTGTTCCCTATGGCCACTGATATAAATTACCATAAATGACATGGCTTATAACATCAGACATTTTTTTCTCTCACTGTTCTGCAAGGTAGAAGTCTGAAATCAAGGTGTCATCAGTGCCATGCTTCTTCTGAGGGCTCCGGAGAAAGATACTTACTTTCTTGTCTTTTTCTAGCTTCTGGTGATTGCTGGAGACCCTTGGCAGGCTTGTAGATGCATCACTTTAATTTCTGCTTCCCTTTTTACATGGCATTCTCTGTGTATCAAAAATTCCCTCTTATAAGAATACCAGTGATATTAGGGTATAGATTAGTGTATAGGATTTACCCTAATCTTTCATAACCACATCTTAACTTGATTACATCTGCAATGTCCCTATTTCCAAATGTCTCATTTATAGTTTCTAGGTGGACATGAACTTTTGGATGACACTATTCAATTCAATATACCATATATATCACTTAGCATAATGTTTCCAAGACCCATGTCATAATATATATCCATCTTATGCTGAATTATGTGTGGTATTAATTTCAGAGCATGACTTTATGAGGTAGCATGTCCAATTACAAGGTTATTATAATTGGGAAATAGAGCAATGGCAGGAAAACTGGAGAGGAGATGTTGCATTCAAAATTTATTGTGAATTATAATCAATAGGATTTGGTAATTAGATGTGAAGGCTGATGAGGAGAGAAGTTAAAGTAGATAATAAAATAACAAATAATAAAGAGGTGGCAAGAGCATGAATGTTTAAGGAAAATTAATGTCCAGATAAATGTGGAGTTCCTCAGAGAGTCCTAGGCTGTTGGTTACACATAAGAAGTCATCTCCCTAAAAGGCAATGACATATTAAAGTGATGATTACCAAGAAAGAAAGAAGATGAGATTGGGGTCTGGGAATATATCCTTATGGGGATCTCTATTCCTTTAGGAAGCCACCAAAGGAAAGGGAGCAATACAAGGGGCTTAAGAAATAGTAATCAAATAAGCAGAAGATAAGGGAGAGATCAGTGCTTCAAAAATTTTGCACTGAATTATAACCCAAATAATATCAATAATAATGATAATATTCATATTATAGTTCTTCCTATATTTTAGTTAATATCCTAAGGGCTTTACCTATATTAACTTAGTTAACTTCACAGAATCCTATGGAAGTAAATGCTGTATCAATGTAACAGAAGGAGGGCTGGGGATATAGTTCAGTTGGGTAGAGTGTTTGTCTCCCATGTACAAGGCCATGGGTTTAATCCCCAGCCCTACCAAAAAAACAAAACAATGTAACAGAAGGGGAAATGAAGACACAGCAGGTTCAGTACTTTCATGTGTTCTAATGCTCCACTAAGCATTTTATATCCACTAATTCATATAATTTTCAGTATACTTTTTTCAGATGCCATTATCTCTCCATTTTACAGATAAGAGAACAGAAGTATAGAAAGGTTATGTAAACTGTCCAAGATCAGATAAGTAGGATAAACTGAATTTGTACAGGTTGTTTGGTTCTAGAGTTGTGCTCAGGTTTAACTTAGAAAGTGTAATGCCAGTGTAAGCACTCTGTCCTTTGGGGATACTTGTTTGTACCATTTGTTTGATTCCCACACTGTAGAGGGAAGCACTCCTTTCCAAAGATTTCATCTTCTTACTAGAAAACCAGACTCAGAATAAACTATGATTCATTTACAGGTAAATCACAAGTTTTATTCCTGGCCAGATAAGACATGGATAATTTGGTTTTGTCTGAAAACATTTGGGAATTTCCCAAGTGTGACTTCCTGGAATGGGTCAGAAAACCACCTACCCACTACATTAAAGACTGCAGTGTTCTGCTTGGTTCACTGATGACAGGAAACTGGTAGAACAAAGAGGGCAAGAAACCAGCTATACACAGGAGTAAATGTTACTCAAATTTAGGCTTTTCCTAGTTCTTGAGTTTGTTTTTTATTAACTTTTAAGCTTTGACTCAGACATTAGTGATGATTAGGTAATACAGTTCATTTTGCTATAACAAATGATGATGCTGTATTTCATGGGAACTTGTCTTATTGTCAGTTTTATCACATTTTCATAATTCTTTCTTAT